TCGTCCATAGCGGTGGTGACCCCCGCCACCAGAAAAGACGCACCTACCGTCGGGCACGTGACCTCTGATGTGACGGCGCGGCGGCGGTTCGGCCGAGGTCGCGCCATGACAAGAAAGGTCACTCACTCTCGTTACCGGTCCGTCGGTCGTCTTCCGCGGGCGTGCTGCGCGCAGGCCGTGGCCGTCGGTGCCGTCTCGTTGGCGCGTCTGCGGCCCCGCTGCGTCCGGTAGTCTGGCCGAGCGCCCGTCCCGCTCGGGGTGCATTACCGTGTCGTTGGTTGTTTCCGAGTATTGTCGTTTCACTCTTAAGTTGAAATGTTTATGCCGAAATTTTCCTGGGTGCAAACTCATTCAGACTCTGCTTAGACACTGCGGTGTACTTCGGCTTAAGCCTCGTTTCGACTCGGTTGCTTTCGACACTCAAACTTTGTGTCTCCGATCACGCCATGCCATGCCAAATCTGAACCATCTGAATACTATGTCCGAACCCACTAGAGAACATGGGTTGGACCACCGCGGTGGTTACACGCTGTGTCAGCCTCATGCCCGTCATGTCATGCCCCCAGGGTCCCAGTGCACTGTAAGACCAGAGGATGTGTCTTACACAATTTTGCCCAAATAAACTCATGTCCCGTCCAAAGCTGCCGGTAGAATGCACGTTGTTCATGGTTTGCCATCCAAAACGTCATTTCTTGGTTAGAACGCGCGTCCTAATTCCAGTTTGACCCTCCCAATACCAATTTGTCCCGACCTCAGGGACGTGGCTACGCCCATGCTAGAGAATAGGCTTGAATTCATTTATTACAAAATGACATCGCTCTGCCCGCGTCTCACATAAGGCTGTGTGACCTCGGCTTGCGTGCCACGCCTCCGTCTTTATGTCCCGCCCTGTTGCCGGTGCCGGTCGGGCCGCGCGTCCCGTCGCCGCACCGCTCGGCGGGACCGCGCAGAGCTTGATCGTCGATTGATTACACCGCTGCCGCCGCCGGCCGGCCTACGTACGTCCCTAATGACTGTCCATCACGTGTGCATTGTTCCAGCCGTCATCCGCCCGGCAGACGGCGCCGACGGCCGGCCCGCCGGCGCCGCCGCGGCAGTCCCCCCCCCCCCCCCCCCCCCCCCCCACCCTTCGTGCGGGAGCGCGGCGGCTCGGGTAGGCACGGGCTTCCCTGCGGCTTCGCTGCAGCCTGCCAGCGGTCTTCCGCAGCTGCAGCTTCAGCGCCGCTGGTGACGGCAGTCCAGCTGTCATCAGACTGGTGACGGCAGTCCAGATGTCACCAGACTGGTGACGGCAGATTGCTGTCTCAAGCCATGATGGCAGCATGGGGCTGCCAGCCGTGGTGGCAGCAGTCTGGGGCTGCCAGCCGTGGTGGCAGCAGCCTGGGGCTGCCAGCCGTGGTGGCAGCAGTCTGGAGCTGCCAGCCGGCTGCCAGCCGTGGTGGCAGCAGTCTGGGGCTGCCAGCCGTGGTGGCAGCAGTCTGGGGCTGCCAGCCGTGGTGGCAGCAGTCTGGGGCTGCCAGCCGTGGTGGCAGCAGTTTGGGGCTGCCAGCCGTGGTGGCAGCAGTCTGGGGCTGCCAGCCTGCGGAGCACATAACTGGTGCCGCTGGTGAAGTGCTCGAACTTTTGCCTATACCTCATGGGAAGCGCCGATGACAAAGCTGCATATGTAAGAGAAAAGTTTTGGCACAGGCTCTGACACATTGCGGGCGCGTTGTTCCCGGAGCTTTGGGCTTTAGAGGGCTTAGAGACACTGGTTCGTGAGACAGCGAATCCGGATACATGCCTTTACAGTGTTTTGGCTGTTTGGGTGAAAACTGAGTTAGGGCTTGAACTAGGAGTGTGCACAATGTGAGGACCATTGTGGTCGAGAGCACGGACCATGTATCTGAAAATGGTTTGATGATACCACGGTATGTGCACAAGTTAGAATTATTGACAACGGCAAGTCAGGATATGACCTCTTATTCCATTCATCTATTTCACCCGTTTTGTTTGTTCTTTGAAGTTGGTCGAACCCCTTTATCAGGTGCGATGAAAATGCGAGTGACAAAATAAGGATAACTAGTCATGAGCAACAAAACACAAGTTATGCTCTGACTATCGAAATAGCCGTAAAGGTGTCCCCCGAAGGCATTGCTGTTTCATCATGACATGCTTATTCCTCATTTTATGCTTGCGACACATCATAATTTAGACCCATGGCATGGCATTCACAAACGTAAAATGGCACATTTGTAGAGCACATTTGCGTAAAATGGCAAGGTTTTGCATCTCGATAAAAAGCCGTTCCAGAGTACTGTTACCTGCTATTCTGATGAGTTTAACAGCACACGACGGGTTTTCCTGCTGTTTAGGTAGTCTGTTTTCCGTACCGTTCAGATTTGGTGCCATGCTGTTTCCCTATCTAATTAGTGCAAACGTGAGGTACAAAAGCCATGTGCAGCACATACCGCAGCACGACACTGCGATTCCTACCATTCTGAAAGTCCGCACACTCCTGAGGAAAATATCTGGAACCATTTAAGTCGTAATACGTCACGGAAGGCACAATCTTCCGTCTGCGTTGTCTGGTGAATACTTTCTGGGGCTGGGACTCCTTACGCCAATTTTTGAGCGAGGTAGCAACCAGGCCCTTCGAAACGTTGCAATGCTATCCGAAGTCTGCGGCTGAAATTATTCCGTGATTTTCCACGTGAAGTCAAAGTCCGGTGCGGGCACCACACGTCTGAAAGAATGGTCGTTAGAACTCGGGTCATTCTGCGACCAATTATCTGGGGCGCCAGTGTAAACCTCCGGGCAGATTACGGCGGAACCGGGGCTATTAGCGCGATGGCAAACGGCCAGACCGCCAACCATTCCCACTTCGTTTTGTCTAATCGACCGTGGGCTTTAGAGACCACACCCGGCTGTCCGGGCCTGGCCGGACTTTGGCTGCAGCTCGACCCTGCAGGACCCCGGCCGGGACGACGGTGCTCCAGCGAGGCTGACAAATTCTGCGGGAAAACTGGGCCGCCCTAGGCCATAAATTTCACAATCCCGTCAGCTCTGGAACAATGCGGGCCCGCGTAGAGCGCGAACAACCCATATTACAGCGCACAGCGGCTCCCCACCAGTCGATGCTCGCCCAGAACCAAGGCCCTAACGATTTTTTTTCTTTTCAAAAGTGTGCTGTTGATAAGACCTGCAGCTTCAGCCGCGGGGAGAGCTGCTGTATTAGTGTCGAGGATGTGGAATGAGAAGCTGGGGCGGAGCATGGAAACCGGGAACAGCTTGCCCTCAGCGGCTGCTAGTAAGTTTTTTAGGACTGGCGCATGCCTTCTTGCATAAGTGCGTCTGTTTTGCGTTAGAATGCCTTTTCATTTGCATTCAAATTAAAGGCAAGGATGTATTCCGCGTCATTTGCACTCTAAGGGAGTTCTACTTCAGTGCCAAAATGCATCAGATTGAAAAAAAAATGTCTGGTACCTCCCGAAAGGTTTGTGAGTCTGCAATGTGGCCCGTCATTGATTCTGTTTGGCTGATAAGCTTCCAACAAAGTTCCATCTGCGGAAAGCTGTTGACAAAGCTAACCACTGACGTCATGTCTAAAGATTTAGAGGTTTCCGTGTTTCCGTCATCTTGTGGTGGCCAACATCTGTCAGTGATGAAACGTATCCAGCGACGTCCGTCTTCGCACTGAGAAAGCTACAAAAAGTGTCGTGTCGCCAACCTACTTATCATTTTCCAATCTACATACATGAGGCCTATCTACATCCAATCTGCATACATGCCACCTATTTGAAAGTCACGCTTCGAAGTCGATTGTTGTCGGTTGAACTGGAGCTGTAGGGACGAGTCGTTGTCGAATGTCATTAGTTGGATCAGAGTTGTAAAGACGATCCGTCGTCGAATGTCGCCGGTGGGACCAGCGCTACAGGGGGAGCCGTTGTCGAAAGTCGTCAGTTGGATCAGAGCTTTCGGGATGAGCCGTTTGCGAACGCGCGTATCTCTTCATGCATCAGATCATCCACCTCACTGCCCATGGATGATAGTCTTATGCTGACGTACAGTCCGCCGGGCGGGCTTACGAAAGAAGAGCACCGTGCAACTGCACAGCACATAGCCGGCATGTACAAAATGTATGCCCACCATGTGCCAGCCTGCTTTGCATTACTGGGCGACTGCTCCACACTCGCGAAAAGGTGGCCAGGTGCGTGACCGTCCTGGTTCACCGTGATGCAAAGCGTCATGTTTTAATGTCATTATCTGCCGACAAAATCCTGATAAAAGTCGCTGCACTCCTCACTAAGGAACGAGAGACAGCATACAACAACGCTGCTCGGATTCTGCGAGAGGTTTGCGACTAAGCTGTACTCACGCAGTGTTCATTTTTTAAATCATAAGAACACGGGGATGCATCAAATCTGTTGAGGCTTATGCCTAAGTGTAACGCTTGCTCGTAGGGAGAAAACGGGAGATAATGTGGGATAATAAAGCTATAATCATGTAGTAGGTATGCCATTAAAATGGTGCCCACACAGCCCAATAAACCCTTGCCTAAATGTCATAAAAAATCAGTTAAAAGGAACTAGGATAGAAGTTAGTAGCCAAATTAGCTAAATTAGCGAGGTAACATCAAACCCTGATGACACCCAGGCCTAAATGTAGTGCATGGTATTACTTCTGTACATCTCTACGAGATATTGTTTTACGTCTTCTTCTGCACTCTACGTCCTACGTGACTTTGGCCGCAGTCCAGGCTAGTCAGATACCGATGCCTGTATGCGCTGGCATGGCCGTGACTCAGCGAGTCTGACCGCCTGCATATCTGTGAAGGCTGCGCTGCTAACCACAACTATTGACGATCCTGGTGTTTAATTGCAGCTAGCCTGACCTGGTCTTTGACATCCCTGTAGCCTGTCTCACTAGCCTGACCTGGTCTTTGACACCCCTGTAGCCTGCCTCAGCTAGCCTGACCTGGTCTTTGACACCCCCGTAGCCTGTCTCAGGTAGCCCGCCTTATGTCTGCAGGTCACGTCCTCGGCTTTCTCTGCTTCAGTGAGTCTGACATGACCTGCGCTCCACTTCAGTCACCTTGATCCGATTCGCGGTGATATATTTCAGGCGACCAGACCAGACCCATGCCCAACCTCAGCCGGGCTGACCTGAAGCGCGGCACCAGGTCTCAGGTCGTCTGCTGACCTGACACGCGGCACCAGGTCCCAGGTCGTCTGCTGACCTGACGCACGGCACCAGGTCTCAGGTCGTCTGCTGAACTGAAGCGCAGCACCAGGTCTCAGGTCGTCTGCTGACCTGACACGCGGCACCAGGTCCCAGGTCGTCTGCTGACCTGACGCACGGCACCAGGTCTCATGTCGTCTGCTGACCTGACGCGGGGCACCAGGTCTCAGGTCGTCTGCTGACCCGGCTTGTGTGCCGTTTCAGCCGGCCTGGCCGGGGCGGCGGTGGAGACGGCGGCGGCCCGGCTGCCGCGGCTGACGTACGCCGGCTCGGCAAATGTGACGGTGACGGCCGGGCAGACGGCACGGCTGCTCTGCAATATACAGGAGCTCGGCGACAGGGCGGTGAGCGACGAGCGCCGGCGCCGGCGCCGAGGGTCGGCGCTGCTCAGGGCGCGCGCCTCCGCGGCACAGGTGACCCGGTGACCCGGCCGGTGGCCCGCGGGAATGCCGCTCGCTGCGGGGACGCCGAGCCAAGGGCTGGGATTGCTCCAACGTGACAGACCGGGTAGTGCAGGCTTCGGAAGACGGATTGAAATATAGCATTGAAGCACGCGATTGCTTGGTCATAGAATGCGATGCACTTCAGAACCATTTAAGTACTCTTTTTTGCGAAACAATTTAATTTGATTAACGACGACCAGACGTGCCATCCAGTTGAAAGACGCATCATCTGTTTGAGGAAATCATGTATATTGACCAAAGGTCACATCCGTCTGACGTAGACAGCAAAACGTCGTGTCGTCCGACCCAAGCCACCTCTTGCCTGCCTTCTATGCCGCAACAGTTCTGAAGCTTGTAAGGGTGGCGCGAGCGAGACTGATCACGAATTCATGAGGAGTTCCCTGTTGGGTCGTGTGATCACGAGACTTTTGCTGCCATGACCGTATGATTGTGTGTCGTCGTCACGTGGCTGCCGGACGACAGAAATTGTTGCCGACCCCTAGTCCGCTAGGCTGTACCGCATCGCATTAACCTTTCCGGCTGCCACATCAGGCTTCCAGCCCATTGATCGGCGGGGCCGAGTGTGCTGGGAGTCCGTTTGTTCGGGGTCAGGGAGCGCAGACACAACATTCCGTGCTGATCAGGCTCTCAGTGCGGCGTCCAGGCGAGGACGAGCCCGGCCCCTGGGTCGAGGCGAGTCACGAGGTCAGGCGGCAGCGGCGCGGGACTGCTCGAGATACGGGCGGCGTAAAGTCTTGGAACGCCTCAGGCCAGTGTCGGCGATGGCTGTTGCATTTTTTTTTTCGGGGACCTCAGAACAAGGAAGTAAAGACGCAATAAACGCGCAGGAGAATGAAAGCTAGTTGTGCTAGCAACTTGTTTTTTTTAAAGATTCAATCCGAACCTTTCGAATGGGTAGATTTTTAGATCAGAGCTCATGCAAAGCGGTGCTTGTGTGAGCTCTGATCGCTACCATCCGATCTTGCAATACCCGGTCAACTACAGAAGTTGGAGGCGAAAGTTTAACGTGCCGCAATGTTCGCTACGGTCTGCCCCACCCTCTCACGTCGCTTGACTTTCAGTGCGACCGCTGCCACCGGCCGCGGGCCATATCTATCAAGGACAAACATCGGGCGCTCAGAGCGACTCGAACCCATCCCGCTACGGGGGGGAGGGGGGACATAGGAAGGTGGGCACTCTAGTCAACTGCGCTATCAAGACGGATTGGCTACGTATGGTCGATGGCTTAGTCGATTAGAGTTGCATTCAGGAATGTAGAACTCACAACTATATCAGCTGTCATCTGTACGTGTTGTTTATTGGATAATCACGTTTATCGTGATAGCCTGATGGTATCCAACAGCCCCCCCCCCCCCCCCCCAGAGCACCAGTCAGCCTCAGCCCACCAGTTTTGTGGCCCCGAAAGACTGGCACTGCCATTGACGGCAGATTGGTATCAGCTTCGCCACGCCATTTTTCGACGTAGCCGCAGATCCGCTGGGTCAACTCACCATGAATCTTTCAGCACCATATGCCACATAAATTTTCGACTCTGAAGTTTTTGGACCTCGGTGATGTCACGTCACAGATCTAGACAGCGATTTCAAATGACGTGTCCGGGCGAAAGCGGGATTCAAAGAGGCATCTGCTATAAGTATTGCGTTTAAGCGTAGTCTGCCTTGCTTTTCTGTTCAGCATTGACAATCTGCAGCATACAGTTGACATTTCGGGTACTGTTTTGGTACACAAAAGTTGCTTTTATTTATTCCGTCATTAATTCGTGTATTTACACTACAAATACTGGAACAGGCTATGACATTGAGAGCATTGTAACGCGCAAGAACGGCGTGATACAAGAGCAAATTTGAAAGAAATGATCACTGTACTGTACGTAAATACACAGGTGCTCTCACGTGGGATAAAGAGCTGTGAATTGTTTTACGTCATTAAAGACGACATTTCGATACATTTCATGCCAATCCCTGTCCGTTTTGGGAAAGAAGACATTGTGGTAAGGCAAGAGTAGCTGAGACTGCACCAGGCCTCTTTTGTCCGGATGGTCCCTATAACCCAAGTATTTGACCCATGAGATTATACCAGCATCTACGTTTTGTGCATCCATCATATAACCCGATTAGACGTTTATGCTTGTCGAATGTGCGATCGTCTGAATTGAATGTCCGATTCTATTTTTGTCACTTTTGGTATCTTGTTCTTTAAGATTTTCAGCTCTTCGGACATTTTTGTTCGCTTTTTTACATTTTGCTTTTGTATTCTTTTTGTTTGTCTACGAACTGGGCCGACGAGTCCACGACATTTTCGGTGGCTTGACGTTAAGATCCGCCCGTCCGGAGGCCTTGCTCGTAACAACGCGCGTGCCATGCTGTAAACATCGTTACAGCTGCCATCATGGCCAGTGGGTGTGGCTCCTGAGTGCTTCTCGTAAGGCCTATCCACGACAGAAGAGACAAACAAGGCCTTCGTAAAAGCGCCCTCTCAAGACAAAGTAGCGGTGATTAAGCGGGACCGAATAGGGTCGCATGGCCTCGCTTAGCCGGACACTCCATTCATGCTCCTCTTCGAAGTGATTCATGTTGAATGTCATAACATATCTCTCTGACCGGACTTCCTCATGACAAAGCAACAGTGATACTCACGGCGAAGAACATGTGCGTGTGCTTTCCTAGTTGTTGGTCATCGACACAGCTCTGCTCTGCGAATGGGTTTCGCGATGTCATTACCGCGCCTCTGACCATGTTGACATGGCGGAGGTGTGCGACATTACCCACCCTCTGTTTGTCTGAGCGCACGATGCTTGAATGTGGCTTGGCTACTGTCCTCGATAGAGTTCTACGCGCGCTGGATAAACTCACGGTTTTAGGCATAGGTCATGTATTCGATAGGGAGGTATGGGGAAATCACCAAACGAAGACAGATGGTTTCTTTTGGATGCAGAAGACAGTGATCGTAAGCCAACTGGAGCGGATGGAAGGGCTCAACGGGTGATGTACTCATGTGTGGCCCGTTTGACACTTCATGTTTAGCTGCTTAGCTGAGGCGTGATGGATTTAGATGCGTTACGTAAGAAAATCGTTTTGCTTTGATGGATTGGAGCGGGGCCCGTGAGAAGGGCAGATTTATGGCGCGATCAGATTTTAAATTGGTAGATTGGATTGGACTGGATCCTGACAAATTCGCTGATGGAAAGATCGAGCCCACAAGCGTGACCTTGGACACGGGTCGCGGTCTGCCGAGCGTGACGTCAAGTCGCGCAGGCAGCGTTGGGCTGAGCTATTCAGACATCACTTAAGTCAAGGGTACTCTCCACGCCGTTCGGATATCGAACCTCAACGCAATCAGCCAAGTATTTCAAAACAAGGACCACTTGATCACCTTGAGATCAAATTTCTAAACCAGCATCATTGCAAGTGAGTTTGGCTTATGCAGTGATTTGCGAATGTATGTGATGCACCCGAAGTATCAGCCGGGGAAGAGAGCGTTAGCGTGAACCATATCCGACGTGCAGTGAAGTCGGTACGAAATGCCGATGCATTGGTCTGCCGTCGTCGTGGCGTTCGCGACGCACATCCGGATCACGTGGACGCGTGTGACCGCGTGTGTGGACCGCGTGCCGCCTCAGGTGTGTGTAAGGCGGGGAAGACGCGGTCTTGCGTTAGTGCCTATCTTCCCCCCCCCCCCCGTAGCCAGCAAACAGCGCCCAGTGTCCTCTTTTGCTGCTGCCACTGATCAGCCTCAGAGTGCTTGCGTGCTGCTAAGTTTTCGTCCACGCCGGTGTGGTAGTTGGGTGCTGCGGTCATTAGGATAAATTACCACGCGATGTCTCCATATCAATTTCGCAAATCACGCAGACGGCTTCAGTGTTGGCGGCCTGCTGGTATTTGGCCATGTGCTCCTGAAGCAAGTTATGTCATGTTTATGAACCACATTTAGGGGGATTGGTGCCGCGCGTGCTGCAGACTTGGGACATCACATCCAGCGTCAACATCACGTGCCAAGCCCCTCTTATCGCGCTCCTGATTCGCCGCGATTGGCCTAACGAGCCGGGCGGGCTCCTCAGGACGCCAAGGTTGGCAGGAGGCGATGCTCGCGCGGCTGTAAAACGCGTGTAGAATGGCACCTATGCCGCTGTTGAAGGTGAGCGCGGCACGCACGCGACGAGCGGCAGAAAAACCACACCGGCCCTCGTGCGGCTTCCAGAAGCCTGGCAGGCGCCTCTTTTCACGCCAGGGTTAAGCCCCACTGTCGGCGCGTCATCGCGATTGCATCGGCTCGTCACCGCGATTGCATACGTTTCCGGTGCTCGCAAGTTAATCTGATTTGATTTGAATGGATCAGCATGATCTGGTGGTAAGGGTCTTGGCGCAGGGACGTTTCAAAATCTTAGGAGGGGTTAGACTCAAGGTACATTTATATGATTTCTACTGGGGAGGCAAGCCCGGCGGTCGGTGAGGGGTGGGGGTGGGGGATGGGGCAGGGAGAATTTGTTCACTGTTAATCCATAAAATGCTTTTTAGATGAGTGAATGTCTTGGTTGCTATGCAGTGCATACCTTATGCCGTTTTTCCTGGAGCACAATTTGATTTACTCCGCTCAGTCATACCATTTGGTTAACAGCTGCCACTTTCCAAGAGTTAGACATGCGCCTCAGCATCCTTTCACTGGTAAGCAAAACTCCACGAGTGGATGGGTATCTTGGGTCATTGATGAGGCATCTGCCTCCACTGTTAACACGCCCTCGGATGGGGTGAGATTGTCCCGAAGGGTGTTTCGGGGTGACTTTCGAACAGCGCGGTGCAATCATGCTAAACTTTGCAAAGCTGTGGCGAATTAAGTAACCGATCTTTTGCAGTGAAAATTATATTTGTGTTGTATGATCGCCG